TTGTTGGTGACCTGGGCGGAGAAAAGGCCATCATCGACGTTGGTCTCTGCTTTGTGTTGCCCCAGAGCGACCTTCCGAGGGTGTTCGAGCGCGGCGTCACTGTCCCGCTCCCACTGTAGTCGGCCACACTGGGCGAGGGTCTCTCAGCATAGTCTCTGGGCATGTCCAAGGATATGCGCCCGTCCGTCCTCCTGTTGTCCTCGGGCATAGCAAGGCGATCATTGGGGCCGGGAGAGCGTTGTCGCGGAGTGGCAGGCGCGGCGGGTTTGTTTGTACTGAGGAGGTTCTCGAACTGGGCGCGGAGGGAAGACACTGGCTTCTGTGCTGGGCGTCAGCAACATCTTCGTGCTGGGAAGGAGCTACTCACTATGGACGAGTCGTCCATGTTCTCCTCCTGCTGATTGTCCATGATTGTTGTTTTGTCGTCAGCCGGCACCGGGAGGTATCCTATAGCTGCGCATCGACCAGTGAGGTCTTCTTCCCATTTGGCGCTTCTTGTGAGGGTGGAAGGGGAGGCTGTCGCTCGCGGGCCGTCATGCAGCCAGCGCTACGGAGGCAGGATCCAGAAATAGCCTTTGCAGTAGTGTTTGTGGTAGTGGATACGGTGGCGGTGCGATGTGGTAGAGGCCCGAGTGACTGTAGGGCTCCCTAGCGGAGACGCGTATACTGCCTGCTAAGAATGTTCGGCGACAGGGAAGACCGGCGACAGCGCGGGGGTGCAGGTGTTTCGCAACTGTCGGAACGCAACGGCTATCGCGACTGCTCTCCGTGTGTGTGTACGGTCAGGTGACGTTCCGGTTTGCAGGCGATACCGGTGGACAGAGGCTCTTCAGGGCTGCGTTGGGCGCGGGCGGCTTGGAGCGGTGTTGTCGTGTCTGTCTACTGTCATTCCCCACAGCGCAGCAGCACGGAACCCTGCACACCACCAACGGCAAGGCGATCAGGCACCGGCGAATTATAGACGAGCATACAAAACGCCAAACTAGCCAGCCTGCAGCCGTCAGTCTGTACTCCCATAGCGCCGTAGTCTCCCTTCACCGACACCAGCCATGTGGTAAGCACGCGTTTCTTGTCGCCTCCGAGACTCCCCCGCCATGACCTCCGCGGCTGGCTGATACCCATGTAGCAGACACGTCCTCAACGCCCAGGTCTCCATCCGCTCGCCTTGCTGTATGTCGCCCGTGCTGAGATGTATGCGATGAATGCTGAGAAGGGATAGGCAAGAAATGGTTCGACTGCGCCGAATGTCACCAGGAGCAGAGCGACCACCCGCTCATGCAGACGTTTGACATGGTCTTCATCTGCAAAAAGTGCAAGAAGGCCTTCCGCAAAGATGCGCGCGAATTCGAAGACGCGTAAGAATGGAATGTGTATTTTTCATGTGGCGCTGGGCTGATGAGTGGTAGCGACGAGTACTGCCCGCACTGCGACAACCATTTCGTTCTAGAGGCCAAAACTCCCAAGGCCTCGCTGCAAGTCGAGGGCGAGGATGTGCGAAAGGACGCCAGGCAGGTCGGCTCCCTGGTTAGTGACGAAATATTGCTAACATTTCTGCAGGATGCTCAAGGACGAACGTGTACGAGCCGAAGAGATGCGCACCATATTCGATGTCAAGGAAGCACCGGACAAGTTGGGCTGAACCAGTGGGACACCGCGACATACAGTACTATGCGTAGCACAAGCTACGAACCCGTAGGGCGGGGGCCCTCACCCAAGAAAATCACGCGACGAGCGAGGGGTTGGACGTGGAAAGACACTTCATGGTGTGCTAGATTGCCATTTATGAGCACTAGCTGGTCGTATCTGCATTATACAGAATCATAAAGTCTATCACCCGACGCCACTGCTGTTCATGCCTTTTCGCCATCAGTCGTTAACCATGCCTCTATGCGCCACCAGATCCTGAGCCCTCAGCTGGGGTCTGGCGGGTGAGAATAGCGGCCTGGCCTGTACCGGGCTGCCGTCCAGGCCTCCTGTTCGCCGCCTCTTCCTGCTTCTCTGTGTTGATGTTCTCCACGTACTTCTCAATGTCCTCAACTGGCAACATCTCGATGGGCTTTCCGGGTGCCATGATGGCAATCTCGATGTTCTTCGCGCCAGTCTGCACTACCTCCAACAGTGACTTGACCGTCAACTTGATTGTCTCTTCCCGGTCCATCCCTTCCTTGTGGTTGCGTTCGAGGAATTCGCGGACTGTCTTGCTCGACCGGCCGATCGCATTTGCTTTCCTGGGTAATATTAGCACAGAGAAGTGTGAACTTGTGTATGCAACCTACCATGCTGAGTAGATACCAGAAGGCTCGGTCTGGTACAAGCGCGGGGTCTTGTCATTAGGGTCGAAGCCGACTATCAGTGTGCTGATGCCGAATGGCCGGACACCACCACTCTGGGTGTACCTCTGCTGCACGCCTGCAACATACTTGGTGATGTACTCTATCGATACCGGGTCTTCGACTGTGAGGCGATGTGATTGTGCTTCGAGGCGGGCCTTGTCGACAAGGATACGGGCGTCGGCGTTCAGTCCAGCGAAGGCGAGGGCAACGTGGGTGTCGACGAGACAGATCTTGGAGGGTGTGATGCGGGTATCTTGCAGCTTCATTGCGGATCGCTTCTCGCAGCCGAGTACTACTATGTCCGAGCCCTTGACACCAACGGCGCATGTTCCTGGGGCGAATGAGCATCTGACGTTCGTTTTCTCCTTCATAGACTACGCACCTCGCTTGACTGCTTCGAGCGCATATTCAACCTGGAAGACGTGACCGTCAGGACTGAAGACTGGCGGAGTTAGCTAGGCCCGCATCTCCAAGTGGTGGTTGTTTGTACCGGAGAGAGCTCGATCGTAGCCGGACGCCATTGTGAAAGTGGATGTATGGTAATCTGTAGGCTCCTCGTTGTTTTCTTGTATACGGCGACGATGGCTAAGAAAAAGCGGCTGGGCAAAGAGGTACGGCTGTTGTCAAGTTGCTCGCGGAGCTCCAGAGCTGTCCGCGTCGCTGCTCCCGCCTAAACTACGCCAAGGCGTCTGGCCCGTGCTTACCCTGTCGAATTAGGTCATCATGGTAGATATTCGTGAAGGCGACTTGATTATTTCCGCCGCCCGTCGCATTTCTTCTCCGGTCAATTGGGATGGCATCTTCAGCGCGCTTGGTCTCGTCACTGCGACGAACTGCACTCTCTTCTCGCGCTGCATCGCGCTTTCAATATTTGCGACCCACAAGTCAAGTGCGATGGACGGGTAGTACGTCAGCGACTTCGGAACCTCACCAGCCAGACGAAAATGGTGGAGTGAAAGGCCCGACCGCGTCGTCAAAATCCATCAAGTTCACTTCCGAGTCGTATGTGTTGGGGTTTGGATTTTTTGAGGGATTTGCTAACGCTACGCAGATACCCGCATCTTCAAAGAGACTCCAAGTTCGCCAAAGTCAGCGAGGAGCATGTAAAATATTTTCGAGACCTTCTGGGTTCCGATTCGGCCATCATAGATGGTGTATCGAAAGATGCATCGGATGACATTGAAGCCTTCAACAGCGACTGGATGCGCAAGTTCCGTGGCCATACCAAACTAGTCTTGAAGCCCAGTTCCACGGAAGAAGTCAGCAAGATCCTCAAATACTGCAATGACAACATGCTCGCTGTAGTACCCCAGGGCGGTAACACTGGACTTGTTGGTGGCTCCGTGCCTGTTTTTGACGAGATCGTGATCAACATGCAGAGGATGAACGAAATTAGGTCCTTCGATGAAGTATCTGGTATCCTCGTCGCTGATGCTGGTGTGATCTTAGAGAACGCCGACAACTTTCTCGCAGAAAAGAACCACATCTTCCCATTGGATCTCGGTGCTAAGGGCTCTGCCTACATTGGTGGCAATGTTGCGACAAATGCTGGTGGTCTCCGTCTCTTGCGGTACGGTAGCTTCCACGGAAACGTTCTAGGCATCGAGGCAGTTCTTCCGGATGGTACCATTGTAGATGACCTTTCGACGCTCCGGAAAAACAACACTGGTTACGACCTGAAGCAACTGTTCATCGGCGGAGAAGGCACTATTGGCATCATCACCAAGGTTTCGATTATCTGCCCGAGAAGGTCACCCGCCGTCAACGTCGCGTACTTTGGGCTGGAAAGTTACGAGCAGGTCCAGAAGGCGTACATTGAGGCGAAAGGGCACCTATCTGAGATTCTGTCAGCCTTTGAGCTGATGGACGGTCGCACACAAAAGCTGGTCAACAGGGTTACCGGTAAGAAGATGCCTCTAGAAGGCGAGCATCCATTTTACTGCCTGATTGAGACCAGCGGCTCCAACGCCGAACATGACGGCGAGGTAAGCAAACCCATGGTACGAACGGGACCGGCCGCTGACTTGTCTAGAAACTGCAAGCATTCCTTGAACATGTGATGGAGACCGAAGTCGTCTCCGATGGTGTTCTCGCCGAAAACCAAACTCAGATTCAGGAGCTCTGGTCATGGCGCGAAGGCATCACCGAGTGCCTTGGTCATGATGGAGGTGTCTACAAGTATGACTTGTCGATACCCATCGCTGAGCTCTATGATCTGGTCAACGAGACACGCGATCGCTTGACAGAGGCTGGCCTGCTTGGCAACGACTCCTCGCACCCCGTAGTTGACGTCGTTGGATACGGTCACATGGGCGATGCCAACTTGCACCTCAACATCCCAGTCAGGAAGTTTGACAAGGCTGTAGAGAAGAAGCTCGAGCCATTTGTTTACGAGTGGGTACAAAAGCGTAATGGCAGCATCAGTGCCGAGCATGGCTTGGGAGTGACGAAGAAGCCATATATTGGATACAGTAAGAGTGAAACCATGATCAAGCTGATGAAGCAAATCAAGGATCTATACGACCCCGTAAGTGGCTGCTCGAGCTCGATCCGTTTTCATCATGTGCTGACTTTGACAGAACGGCATCATGAACCCGTACAAGTACATATAGACAGACACTGCAGCACATCCAGTAGACTATTCATATACACATCTTTACCACTTTTTCACATCTTGCTCTTCCCTTTTTGCAGCAGCTTAACCGCATTACCCTGATAGATCGCATCTCTCTCCTTCTCTCCAAACAAATTCTCCAACCCATCCTTCATCCTCTCTGCAAACGCCTTTACAAACTGCGTCTGCGTAAAAGGAAAATCACTCCCATACAACAACCTCTCATACGAGATCTCGAACCCCTCAACAAACGCCTTCAACTGCCCCTGCCCCCCACTCTCTCCATCAAACACAAACCCCGCGAGATCAAAGTAGAACTGCTTATCGAGCTGCTTCCGCACCGTCGAAGCATTCAACACCCTCCCGCCCGGAACCACGCTGGAGAACTGAATAAACCGCGTCATAAGCGGCGGTAACGCACCGCCAGAATGCGGGATGATGAACTTGATGTTCGGACACCGGTCCACCGTCCCCGTACTAAAGAGATTGATAACCGCCCTGGCAGTATCGAAAAAGAACTCAAATATAGGCACGGGGTATTGCTCGCCAAATGGAAGGGCGTCTGTCGTCTGAACCGGTTCACCAGCACTCCTAACGCAAGGTTTAGTCGGATGAATGAAAACCGTCGCACCAATCTCGTTCAACTTGTCAAACACCGCGTCCATCGCTCCATCTCCCAAATAAACCCCATGGTAATTCGTGAGCAGGCCAAAGCCCTCAACGCCTTCCTCGATGCACTTCCCCATCTCCGTCAAACTCGCTTCAACATCCGGCAACGGCAGTGCAGCCCATACACCAAATTTCTCGGGATGTTGCTGCTTGAGAGATGAGGCGTAGGCGTTGCATTGCCGTGTTAGATCGATTGCTAATTGCGGATTGCGCAGGGCGATGTTTGTTCCCGGACTGGAGATGGAGAGGATGGATTTGGAGACGTTGGCTGTTTTCATCATTTCAAGGTGTTGGGGTGGAGACCAGGAAGGGATCGCGGGCATGCCGTCGGGATGGGAGTGCCCGTTTTCGGCGAGAGCGTCGCGGTAGAATGGGGGGAGGAAGTGCGAGTGGACGTCTATTCGTTGGGGGAGGGGGTGTGTCATGTTGGCTGGGGGTTGTTGTAAGAGCGCTGTGGTTGTGTGTGCTAAGAGGATGATTAGGCTGGGGATGGATGGGATCATTACTGTGGTACCTTTCTGAGATGGAAGTGATGGAAAGATCAGATCAGATATATTCACAGAAAGTCGATTTGTGTTTCTACTGGATTTTCCGCTCTTGTCAGAAGTAACGAATGCTATGCTTACTTATGCGATGCAATGCGCGGCACCTGCATGAAGTGATCCATTGACATCCGGCACCCCGCTCCGACGGTTGCACTTAACAGAGCGAAAGCACGTTGGTCGTTGTGCAACTCTTTCAGTAAGAACCTGTACATAGGCACTGCGCCTCTATTATGTGTGAGCATACTGCGCCCACAAGCTGGTCCAGCAATTGCAAGCTTGGGGACTGGATGGCTACTGCATTCGGACGAGACTTCTCATTCCAACGCAGGATGTAGCAAACAACAACGTGATAGCAGCTACTCTTAGTGTTCCCCCTCAAAACTATATGACTCTCACCGCACGATAGTTCACCCATTGAAATATCGCGTCAGAGCGTGTGAATGCTCAGTGCGGCACGCATGCGCCGATAAAGGATAATGATCCTGACCGTCGATCGCGTGCCCCACCCGCGCCTTCCAGATGAGCGGCGGGTCAACTTTTTGATTCCATCACTTGCAGCCATGACACAACGTCGTCCGCCACACCACCTTTCCCGACACCCTCAGTCGCGCCTTCACGATGGAGAGGATTACGGATAAGATCAACGCGCTGCCTGATGGCGCCAACTACTTCTCGCTCGAGTTCTTCCCGCCCAAGACGGCCATGGTGAGTCTGCCCCGCTCGCACGCGACGAATGTGGAGGGCTGCAGTATGGATAGGGAAAGAACATCGCGAAAGAAGAATTGGTCGCTAATGGCTCTCTAGGGATTTGCGAACCTACAAACACGTTTAGAGCGCATGTCGCAGGCTCTCCGACCACTCTTCGTTACTGTCACCTGGGGTGCTGGCGGATCAACAGCCACCAAGTCGCTCGAACTCGCAGAGATATGCCAGCGCCAATTGGGCCTCACGACATGTCTACATCTTACATGCACGAACATGAACCGCCAGCTCATCGACGACGCGCTCGAGCAGGCAAAGGTGTTGGGCATACGGAACATCCTGGCGTTGAGGGGTGACGCGCCACGGAGCGACGAGTACAGGGATGAGGGAACACCGCCGGAACAAGACTCGAACAAGGACTTTACGTGGGCGATTGACCTAGTCAAATACATCCGGAAAGAGTACGGCGACTACTTCTGCATTGGTGTCGCTGCGTATCCAGAGGGCCACTCGGATCAGAGCCATCCCAAGGATCAAGATCCGCTGCACGACCTGCCATACCTGGTTGAGAAGACCAAGGCTGGCGCAGATTTCATCATGACCCAGCTTTTCTACGATGTTGAGGCGTACAACAAGTTCGAGAAGATGCTGAGGGAGCACGAGAGCGGAGTGTTCAAGACGATACCGATCATACCGGGGCTGATGCCCATACAATCGTACAAGATCTTGCTCAGGACAACCAAATTATCGCATGCGAAGCTGCCGTCGGATATGCTGAAGCGACTGGACGCGGTGAAGAGCGACGATGAATTGGTGAAGCAAGTTGGCGTCAAGATTATGGACGAAATGGTGGAACACATCAAGGCGCGGCCGGATACTTGCAAGAGAGGGTTCCACTTCTACACGCTGAATTTGGAGAAAGCTGTGTCGCACATCGTGGAAGACACTCACCTTATACCGTCGACTATCGAAGACGACGATGATGTCATTGTCGAGACCACGCCCGCCATCAACCTTGAGCCACCACCGAATGGCATAATGCCGCGCAGGCGGCGATCATCTGCTGTCAACTCCGGCCCGCACAACAGAGTAATAATATCACACCCGTCCGCGGCCAGGTCAAGCAATCACTCCTACGAAGCTACGGAGGAGGAAGCTGGTGTGCCAAGGGGTCCCATCAACACCCGGGCGAACACACTGGCAATCTCAGAGGGCGAAGGCTCATTGGGTCGCGAAGCCACTTGGGACGATTTCCCTAACGGTCGTTGGGGCGATGCACGTTCGCCTGCCTTCGGTGAGATTGATGGCTACGGTCCAACGCTCCACGTCTCAACACCGCAAGCTCTCAAGCTCTGGGGCCATCCCGTCGAGAAAGACGACATCTCGAAACTCTTCCGCCGCCATATTGAAGGAGACCTGGAAGCCATACCCTGGAGCGAACAAAGTCTGTCTCCTGAGACCCTAACCATCAGCAAGCAGCTGCTTGCGCTCAACGCGAAGGGCTGGTGGACAGTCGCCTCGCAACCTGCCGTTAATGGCGTCAAATCCACCGATTCCGTCTTCGGCTGGGGTCCCAAGAACGGCTACGTCTTCCAAAAGCCATTCGTCGAGTTTTTCATCCCCGCCTCCGAATTCGCAATTCTCAAACCTAAGCTCGACGCTCATGAGCAAGTCACTTACTTCGCCGGTAACGCCGCCGGAGAGTTTGAAGCTAGTCAAGAGGATGGTGTGAACCCTGTTACTTGGGGTACATTTGCTGGCAAAGAGATTGTTACGCCTACTATCATCGAGGCTGTCAGTTTCAGGAGTTGGCTTGACGAGGCGTTTAGTATCTTCAGGGAGTGGCAGAGGATTTACCCGCCGAGGAGTGCGAGTAGCACACTGCTTGGAAAGCTAAGGCAAGATTATTGGCTTGTTAATGTTATTTGGGGCGACTTTGTCAATGGAGAGGGGTTGTGGGAGTTTTTGGAACAGTAGCTTGTATTGTAGATGTACGTATGGGAACCTTTTGAAGCCTAGGTAACGTGAGCACATTTCAGTCTTTCCATTTGCCGTTCGTTCCCTGTTCAGATCCCTGATAGTACTTAGCGACACCAGCCCTCAGAGGTCTGCATGCACCAGGGCGGCGTAGTTACGCGCCCGCCAATCGTTCCTTCATGCGTCGAAATATGCAAGGCTGCAACGCCACTTCCCTGACATGGAGGTAAACCTGCACTGGGAGAGAAGCATCCCGACCCCGCTTTGCAAGGCTTCATCAACACGTGTCTATCCACCCCGTTCTACTTTTCTTCCCAAGGTCATCCCGCACTACTACTCTACTTCGGTTGCCACCAACCTCGCTTTTATTGCGGCACCAAGCAATGTCTTATAACAACTCCTCAAACTCAAACTCTCTTCGAGTTCCAACCGCTGGCAGAATCAAAAAGCTCAGACGGAAGGGGCCCGTTTCGCGACATAAGTCCCCGCGCTCGCGGCCACAAGATTCGGACTCGGACGACACTCACATTGGAGGCGATGAAGGTCTGGGACGCTTAACTTTGGGGTCCAATGACGACGACGAAATGAAAGATGACGATAATAACGACGACGAAAAGCCAAGCCTACAACCAGCCGCCGTCGCTTGGAACCGCATGTCCAATGGCCAATCTCATGTCGAGTGGGCACGCGAAGATGTACGTCCGTTCTCTATAGGCCAGAGACTGGGTAAAGGCGGTGTCGGAGTCGTTCATGAGACACACATTGGAGGTGTGTCAGTGGCCTTGAAACTCACCTCCACGCGTCGAATGGATCCTCAGATCCTAAACGAGATCAAGATCCTCGGTCGAATGTCACAGAATCGCCACCGTCACGTTGTGGAACTAATTGGGTCTTACGTGCACGAGCAGCAAAGAGGTGGCTATGAGATTGGCATGTTGATCTGGCCAGTCGCTCACACAGATCTTGCGGCGCTACTTCACGATGTTAACGTTCTGTGGCAACACTACTGCGATGATTTGGTCGACAGTGACGGTGACATCCTGCCGCAACCAGCAAGCTCAGTAGTGGAGAGAGTTCGTACGGCGATGGAGCCACTTCTCCCCCTCACCTATCTGAAAAAGCACCACCATTATGACAATCTGGCTCACGAGGTCGCGTCAATCTTGTTCGGGATGTGCGGAATTCGTCTCAGGCACAGTTTGGGCTGCATAGCCAATGCTGTTGCCTATCTACACACAAACCGGATCCGCCACAAGGATCTCAAACCCTCCCAAATACTCCTCTCACCTCAAGGTCTCTGGCTCACAGATTTTGGTTGGTCTGCGGATATGTCCGAGCACAGTACCAGCGTTACCAGTAACGGTGATCAAATTACTGCTAAGTACCAAGCACCGGAACGAGCGAACCGACAGCCCTGCGGACGGTCAGAGGACATCTTCTCTTTAGGGTGCATATATCTCGAGATCGCTTATTGCATGGCTCTATTGGGTCAAGATATTCCACGTCCTTGGCTTCAAAAAGGGTGGTCATTCCAGGCGAACCTGAACCAGATGCAAGAGTGGATGAAGCCCTTGGGTAGTCCCAGATATATACCGATTCCAAAATCGGACAGTCGTGAAATTACCGTGCTCATTAGGGAGTTACCAATGCTTCTAAAGCCAATGCTGGCAGCTGCTAGCAACGATCGCCCCTCTATCCAAGATATCGTAGACTCGCTTTCCACGCCTTTCGTCGAATCGAGTGGGGCTACGTTTACCGGCGAGTGTTGTGCACCGCTCATGCGCATCGAAAGTTCATCAGAAGAGTCGATGTCTGAGGATTCGGACAACGAAATAGGAGACACTATCGCAGTCATGCCGTACAGCCAAGTGTCCGACGTTATCGCAGTCATGCCGTACGACAAAGCACAATCCTGATGATCAGGCTTTAGCCTGAGGCAAAGGGGCACTCTATTCTTGTTCCTGGGAAACCGACGGCTAGACATCAAATTAGGCATCACAGTTGCCTTGTCTATACTCTCGGTCCACTCATGATCACGTTTGGTATGAGTCGCTGAACCTTCGCCGGGCTACCGGTGAGCACTGAAGACCCGGCTGGGGCTGGAACAGCAGCACGGTGTTCAACCCCTAAAGATAACGATCTCCAGCAATAGAGAAGCACCAATTCTTTCCATCGTGAGTGGATGGACAGTGTATTTGTTG